AGCCACTTTCTTATACCATACACAAAAATAAACTCAAAATTGATGAAAGACCTGAATGTGAGACAGGAAACCATCAAAACCCTAGAGGAGAAAGAAGGAAACAATCTCTTCGTCCTCTTTGACCTCCAAAGGCAAGGGAATTGAACACAAAAATGAACGACTGGGATCTCATCAAGATAAAAAGCTTCTGCGCTGCAAAGGAAACAATCAACAAAACTAAAATGCAACCAATGGAGTGGGAAAAGATATTTGCAAATGACATATTGGATAAAGGGCTAGTATCCAAAATCTATAAAGAACTCAACAAACTCCACATGCGAAAAACAAATAATCCAGTGAAGAAATGGGCAGAAGACATGAATAGACACTTTTCCAAAGAAGACATCCAGATGGCCAGCAGGCACATGAAAAGATTCTTAAGGTCACTCATCATCAGGGAAATACAAGTCGAAGCCACACTGAGATACCACCTCACGCCAGTCAGAGTGGCTAAAATGAACAAATCAGGAGACTCTAGATGCTGGAGAGGATGTGGAGAAATGAGAACCCTCTTGCACTGTTGGTGGGAATGCAAACTGGTGCAGCCACTCTGTAAAACAGTGTGGAATTTCCTCAAAAAGTTAAAAATAGAATTACCCTGTGACCCAGCAAAGGCACTACTAGGAATTAATCTAAAGGATACAGGAGTGCCGATTCATAGGAGCACATGTACCCCAATGTTTATAACAGCACTTTTATCAATAGCCAAATTGTGGAAAGAGTCTAAATGTCCATCAACTGATGAATGGATAGATATGTGGTTTATATATACAATGGTACCACGTGGCAATGAGAACAAATGAAAACCTGCCATTTGCAGCAACATGGATGGAACTGGAGGGTATTGTGCTAAGTGAAATAAGTCAGTCAGAGAAAGACAGATACCATGTTTTCACTCATATGTGGATCTTGAGAAACTTAAGAGAAGACCATGAGGGAAGGGAAGGGGGAAAAATGTTACAAACAGAGAGGGAGGTAGACAAACCATAAGAGACTCTTGGGTACTGAGAACAAACTAAGGGTTGATGGGGGGTAGGGGAGAAGGGATAATGGATGATGGGCATTGAGGAGGGCACTCGCTGGGATGGACACTGGGTGTTGTATGGAAGCCAATTTGACAATAAATTATATTAAAAAAAGAATGATGGGTTGTTCTTTTATCACTTCAAGTATGTACAAAGTAAGAAGAGAAATGGAAACAGATTTGCCTCCAAAAATTGTAAAACAAATCATGAAAATTCTTAGTGTTATATTTTAAGGTAGAAAAATGGAAGTAAGCAAACAGCAAGAAAAAGAAGAATTTTCTTACTTTCCAAACTTTATTCTCATCTAAACCAAATCTGTTTTGTTACTTTTTTTCAGGAACCTGCATAGGTTCTCTCCCTCTCTCTCTTTCATAATTTGAAGAGTCTAAAGTTATGTTTTAATTTTTTGTAGGTACAATAAATTACCTTTGAGAGAAAGAATTAAAATATTTCAAGTCCAACATTCCATCAATTATTTGATGTATGGTCAAGATATTAAAACTTTTGGAGAAAAAATACATTTTATATTAAATACACTTAAAAATATGCATAACGATAGTACACACCTTTGCATACAATTACCTCCAACTTTCCTAATCTCCATAATTAAAGTTTGATTCTAAATTATGTTTGTATTTGTAGACTCAATGTTTTTCTGAATTACCTTTGGTCATTAGCAATTATAAAAATAATCCTGTATATAATTTTCTTTCCTTATCTAGTGCTTGAGATTTCGACTTCTTTATAACCTTTAGGATTGACTGTATAATCTTCAAAGGGAAATCAAAGAATACCAGAGAAAATTCTATACACATTTCTGTCAAGCTAAACCCATTTCCATTTTTTCTTTAACTGAATAACATGTTGCTAAAAGTTAAATAGTTTCTCTTACATGTCAAGAATTGTGAAGGGTCTGCAATTTCACCATATTTGTAAGCTTTCATGTTAGCCTTTTATTGCTTTATGGATGCTGGCAGGATACACAAGACTCCTGGGTCAAAGGTGAAGAACAGTGTATTACAGTAGTAGCAATAGCCAGAATATTAGCATTTTTGTGATAATTCGTTGAACCCCGGTCCTACAGGGTAGCACTGAGAACCTGATGATACCTGCCTATGCAGCGGGTAGTCCTACAAAGGAACTCTAATCTTAAAAACTCAAATTATTTATAGTTGGCTGTAAGCATGGCTTCCCTGTGTGTGTGTGTGTGTGAGACAGAGAGAGAGAGAGAGGGGGAGAGAGAGAAACAGACAGAGACAGAGACAGAGAGAGACAGAAAGAGAGACTATCTCTGTCTTCCAAGACTGCTGACTCTATGAACATCTCAAAAAAGGTAGTCCAAAACAAAGGTAATCAGGGCTGTCAACACCTTGCTCACAAGACATGAAGAAACACAACAGACCCGTAGAGAATTGTCACCTAACAAAATCTACGCATCATTTCTACGCCATCATGACTCTTGGCAAATATCCCCATGGCTACATCACTCTGTCAGCCACTCTGATTGGCAGAGGCTGGGACCAAATCTGTTCAGTTTGTCTCATACAGAGTTTAATTAAGGCTACTGCCAACAGGACCCCAAGTAAAAGGCTACTGCAGTGTTTGTCTCAGCCATGTCCCCTGCATCCCCAAGATCCCAGAGTTTAGAGTTGAATAAATCTCATAAACTATCAGGGATGTTTTAGAAAGCTAGTTGTCCTTCTCCTTAAGTTTCATCACTGACCTTTCTACTCACCAGAAACACTAGTTCAGGTTAGGCAGGATATAGTAGCAATTGCACAGACTCTACCTTAGCCTACCAGAAGGAAGTCTAGGGGGCAATTCTATCATTCACAATAACTGTGGCCCAAGACTTAATCCTGAGCTGAATGCTTTCCAGGCTTAGGGAGAATCACCACTAAAATCATAGAAGATTGTCATCCAATATTATATAGAATCACAGTGTTTTAGAAGAGTTTTCCAATTTTAGAACAATGATACTTGAAGATATCAACCTCAACTAACTGAAATTTCTACATTCTCTTCCAAGAGTCTTGGCAATGTCTACTTCCCAGAGTTTCACTGCTGGCAACTTTATGCATGCCCAACTTTTTGTTTCAATAAAGAATGATAATGTCATCTCATGGAAAGCATTTTAAATAATAACAAGAGTTATAAAAAAACTCTACAAGTCCACTCCTTATGGAACTACCAATGAAGATCATCATGGAAATCAAATGAAAGAAAACTTCATCTCAGTGGGTGTTTTCCCTTGGATAAAGGACTTGTCCCAAGGTGTTACAACTTATTCCTCCCTTTATAGCAGACATTTTTCTCAAGTTCAGAAATATTAAACATAAAAATAAAAACATGCATACTAGAATTGGAGAAAATGTGGAATGTGTGATTTTTAGAATGCTGAGGTTGAGGAAAACAATAGGACCTTAAGACTTCATAGGTGAAAGGAATTTAAATAATCTCAACCAAATATGACTTGACACCATTTTCTTTTCTTTTAGCAACCCTCATTATAAATATCTTTTTAGCCAAAATAACATATTGTGGCATTTCAAATAACCACATGTTGCTGTAGGCTTTGAAAAGATTCTAAATGCATTTAAAATCAAGGGCAGTTGAAGATTTTCTAGATCTATGTGTGTCTTCAGTATTACTCATGGCCTTCTCAATTTCCTCTTACAGGATTTTGCCAGGAACTAAATCTGTTAATAGCTAGAGGATTCTGTTCTTAACCAACAGAAAAGTACTAAATGAAGAAAAACAGTGTCTCTCATTCATTCATAACCCATGAATACATGTAAATGTTATTTTCCTTAAAGTGAAACATACAAAATTCATAATGACTAAAAATATACTTATATCACCATTCAAATGTTATTCATTCATTATATAATGTGTTATCTGTGTACCAATTATGTATAAAAAACAAAAGGAAGGTTTCATATTATCAAAAGCTACACAAGCATATTTTTTTCTTTTACATGCAAACACATACATTGTAAAACCAGAGCAGCAAACATTGTTACTCCCTAAAAATAATTGTTTAATTTCTATTTTTTTATTCTTTAAAAATATTTTATTATTTATTTATTTTGAGAGAGAGAGAGAGAATGAGCAGGCGAGGTGCAGAGAGAGAGGGGGACAGAGGATCTGAAGTGGATTATGTGCTGACAACAGAGAGCCTGATGCTGGGCTCGAACTCACAAACCATGAGATTGTGACCTAAGCTGAAGTCATATGCTCAACTGACTGAGCCACCCAGGTGCCCCATTAAGTTTTCATTTTGGTATTTAAAAGCCAATACTCCATTTCATCACAAGCAGCTATAATTAATTTTTCCATATTGGATGCTACCAAAACTGAAGTGGTTCCAAGAAGCACATACTGTTTGGGGGAAAAAGAAGAAAAATGATACAACTTCACATGTGAATGCTAAAAATTGATTCTTTAATTCTTAGTTTCTTTTCCTGTTTGAAATGTTGATAAAGTATTTTGTGATTTGTCTTTTAATAGAAATTACAAAATCTATAGTGTGTAGACAGAAAAAGGACTCCCTAGAAAACATTTATGTCCTAATCCCCTAATCCCTGGGACTTGTTAGAAGAAAAAGTGGGAGGTGGAAGGGGAGGGGGGAAAAGGGAGGAAGAGGGAGAGGGAGAAGAAAAAGAAGAAGAAGGAGCAGTACCTGAGTGACTCAGTTGGTTTAGGGTCTGATTCTTGACCTCATGGTTGTGAAATTAAGCCCCGAATTAGTCTCCATGCTGGCATGAAGCCTACTGAGGGGGGAAAAAAAGGAGGAGGAAGGATGGAGAGAAGAAAGAAAAGAAAGAAAAAAATCTTTTCAGATGTGATCAATTAAGGATCTTGTGATGGAGAGATTATTTTCCTGGGTTATCTCGGTTGTTCCTAAAGACAAACACTTGTATTTTTATCAAAGGAAAGAAGAGGGAAATTTGACATGCCCACATAGGGGAAGGCGAAAAGAAGATGGAACAGAAAGAATATTCTGGTCTTGTAGACTGGAGTGATGCAGCCCAATGCCAAGAAATGCTGGCGGCCACCAGAAGCCTGAAGAGACAAGAAATGGTTCTACCCTACAGCCTCTGGAGGGAGTGTGCCCCTGCTTCCATCTCGATTTTGGCTCATTAGTGCTAATTTTGGGTTTCTAGCCTCCAGAACAATGAGAGTATACATTTCTGTGGTCTTAAACCATGAAGTTCAAGGTGATTTGTTATAGATACCACCAGAAACTATGTATATAACTTCTAAGCAAGTTCTACTTAGGTATTAAAGATACACTTAGTGGACACCTTGCTGTCTCCTGTAGCCCTCATCTTAAACAACAATACAAGGTAGGCTCATTTATAAACCAGAGGTTTTGAGTTTGAGAGAAGGCAGTGGACTGAGGTCTTAGGGGCTGGTGACAGGTCTTGTGGGGAGAAAGAGCTGCCTGGGAGTTACAGAAACATCACAGCCATCCTGACTCACACACTAATTTTATCATTCATGCTACTTATTGAGCACCTGTCACAGCACTGGTCCCTACTCAAGACACTGGACATGGATAACTGCGGCAGGCAGGCAAAGTCACTACTCTGGTGGTTTGTGTTCTGGTGAAGGGGGGAAACTTGTGTATAAATAAGTAATCATAAATATGTTAGTTAGGATAAGTGTTATAAGGGATAAAAGAAGGAAAGAGAATACAGGTACCTGGGGCAGGTTGGGTGCTGGTGTCTACTGGATATTCACATGAGGGTTAAGGTAAGGAGTATTGGGTAAGCAAACCTAAACGCAGTGACAAAAACTTATGTCTGTGGGTGTCAGAGAGAGAACATTCCAGAATGATGTGATGATAAATGCAGAGGACCTGAGGCTGGCATATGCTTGGTGCCTGATGCATCTGGAAAACATCAATTGAGGAGGAGAGAAGGTAGCAGAGGGACAAAGAGGTTGCCAGATCCAGGTACTGCAGACCTTGAAGTCCATGGAAAGCCTGGGCCTGGTCTACATGCAGGATTTGCAGCAGTGGAATAGTATATCTGACAGCTATTTTGAAAGGGGGAGAAAGGCACATGTGGCTAGTGGCTACTGCACACATTGGTGATTCCTGCTTACCCCTGACATGTCGCTTCAAGTGGCTGTGGTATTTCTTCCTTCACAGTCCCCGGTATTCCTTTTCCCACTGCAGCATCTCTCTTACATGATGGAATCACCTTCCTCTCCCTAGGGTAAATTCTCTCCTCTCCTGGTTTAGAGGAAAGCAGAGGATTCTCTCTCCTCTTGCCAAGTCAGAGGGTCTGACACAAACCTGGGGGCTTTAACACACAGGCAACATCAATATCTTGTAGACTCGACATTTGAAAACACGATTGTCTTCTTCAGATCAGGTTCTGCAAGGCCAGTAGATTATTTATCAGCCTATGTTATCTAGAGGGCAGGGGCAAGAATGGACAAATTGTTCATGTCTATCTTCTTAGGAATTTTCTAATTTCAAAACTGACTAGAAGAAAGGTACTTTCAGTTTATTTATGCCTTCAGGTTTTGGCGGGGGCTGTGCAGACTGTTGGTGAGAGGTTTTCTTTAATTTAACAAGGTTGAAATGATTTTACAATCTTCTAGTGCAACATTCCTCCAACTTTACCATGGACAGAAAACACCTGTATCCTTTTAAAATGCAGATTCTAACTTGAGCCTGGTGGGCTGAAACTCTGTTTTTCTTTTCTTTCTTCTTCTTTTATTATTATTATTATTTATTTTTAGAGATAGAGCAAGAACACATGAGCAGTGGGGAGGGGCAAAGGGAGAAAAGAGAGAATCTTAAGCAGGCTCCACACTCAAGGTGGAGCCCAACACAGGGCTGGATCCCAGACCCTGAGATCATAACTTGAGCCAAAATTAAGAGTGAGATGCCCAACTGATTGAGCAACTCAGGCGCCCTGAGACTGCAGTTCTAACATACCTCCCAGGTGAGGCTGATGCCACTGGTCCACATTTGAGTAGCAAGGTCTCAGTGTTGAGTCAGGTTCCATTTATGTATCAGTGGAAATTCTGAGAGTATAAGGATGCAAAACCTTAGCCAAAATTAGAGTGGCTATTGTTTTGTAAGCTGTGTACTTCATGCTTTCACAATGTCTTTGTTGTTTCTTTCCCTTATCATCTATTGAACTGCTATACTGTTTCAATGTAGGGTCTTTGTTTTTTTTGCTTTGATCAGTTGTTTATCTGTATTTTTACAATGACTGCTCAACTTCGAAAAAAAATCTTAAGAAAATTTCATTCAGTAATTAATTGAAATGAAAGAATAAGTGCTAATGACTAACATTGTCAATAACCTCTGATGTTTATCAATATTATATAAGTCAGAAACATTTCAAATGTTTCTTCTCTAATATCAAGCATGCTATAATACCATACTCTAATACTAGGTCTACTAATATATACACGTTTTAAAACAACATAAAAATATTTCAGTTTGTATTTCAATTCATAAAATTGTAAGCCAGATATCTTGCCTTAATTGAACTTAAGTGGATTTGGGTTACATGGCCTCATTATTGCATTACAGGGCACTATGAGAAGATGCAGCCCCTCTCAGCCTGGATCTCAGACAAATAGAGCTCTCCCAACCTCTCCTCCCCCATCCCCACTCTTCACAACCCCTGAAGGACATGAGGCCCAATCAAGGAATAACTCTTGTTGCTTAAACCCACTGAGATTTGTGTCTTGTTTGTTACATAGCATCATCTAATCTGTCCTGACAAATATAGTGATTGTCACATGGCACAAGGCTACAGCTACATCCAAAACATAATTATGTGGCTAACAGTGAGGACACTGATGTGAGAGCTTTAAGAGAAGACTGTTTTTATTATGTAGTGGCAAAGCATTTGTTGAAATTCTCACCTCTGATAACTTCAGAGGAGTTGTGCCTAGTGAACTTAATGAACTACGAATCTAATATATTTATAGCTTTAGAAGTTAATACACATGACAGTAATACTATTATTGATAGCTGTCAGCTTTGTTTGGCAAGGTATTACAAGATAAATGCTAACTTAGGAAATAATTGGTGTTTAAGCAGAAGTAAAAAGAAATGTAAAGCATCCCAAAACTCAGAGTCTGGCAAGTTAGACAATAATATTCTTGACCCAAAATAGTAAAAGACAAAATTAAGAGAGGCTTCCAGGTTCAAATGCCCTGTATAATCTTTCAACCAACTAAGATGTTTCAGAGAAAGGATCAGAAGTAGAATGTGACACCCAGTACATTTTCAATTGGATTAAAATCAGGATAGAGAATAAATCACAACTGTTGTGGTCCTCCCAACATAAGCTAGATATATTCACGGTCCTAGCCTCCAAACTTAATAAAACTCTTCTGAAGCCAAGATAAAAAAAATTAGCACTCTAGACACCATCTCAAAAAATGATATAAGTAAGACTATTGGCTGGCATATACCACTCACTGGAATCAAACTGATAAAGAAACTGGCTACATTTTTGATGAGGGAACCAGGAAGCTGAGATTATTCTAGGTGTAATGTCACCCTTGAGCACCTATCCACCTAGATAGACATGTAGAAATTCTCACAGCCCTTCCTTCCACTAACTCCCCATGACAAAGTTCATCCTCAGCACCTACTTTACTGTAGTTGAGGAAGCAAATGAAAAGGAAGACTCCCCAAACTGAAGGCAGAAAATGAAGAAACATGAACAATGTTTTTTTTGAATAGTGGAATTGAGACTTCTTCCCAAGGAGAGGAATTAAGATATACTCTCCCTTCACAGCTCAGGAACTCTCACATCATCTGCCTAGCAGGGTTTCAGTGTTGCTCTGTACCAGTGACAATGTGTGCCTATTGTTTCCCTCTCCAAAGAGGAGTGTTTGATGCAGAGATCCTATCCTTGTTTCACCTTGGTAGGGTGGTTCGATGGGAAAAAAAGAAAAAAAAAACTTTTTGTTGTTATTGTTGTTGTTCATTGGTCAAAAGGATCAAAAGAAGCTGTATTCACACCCAATGAAGACATTTCTATGTATCCTTGAGAGCTTGGTGATGTACTAAACGGGACTTTGGGTACTTTGTAGAGAGAGGATGAGTATTGACTAGTTGTATGTGGAAAATCCCTTTGGTAGATTGTACTAGACATTAGTAGGTTTAATTCATTACTGTTTCTCCCCTCTCCTGAGGCACACCCCAACCCCCTTGATGTTAGGGTGACTTTATGGCTTGCTTTGATTAAGGAAATTTGAGGTAAAGAAATGTATTCCTTCCAAGTGGATGTAGTTAAGAACGGGAGACCAATTTTCCAAGCTCACTCCCTCAACCACAGCATACCCTGAAGTTTGAGTTGAGATAACAAATGGAACATTTGTCACCTGAGTGCCCAGGTAACAGTGAAATAAGAAAAGACTTCCTGTGAAAACATACTCTATATATGCATGTTGTAAGAAATTTGGATTTCAAGTTGTTTGCTACTGCAGCATGACCTATCTTGACTAATACATCACTCATACACTGTAGTATCATAATAACTTGTAAATGCACGTACTAAATCCCTAGGAATATAGTTTAAAATATGAAATGTCAGAATCAAATATTTACTTCTGGCAAGTCTTAGTGGCCTTTGACATTCATTTGGTATTGATCCCATAAAATTTTAATTTTTAGTTGAATTGTGCGTTATATACTCCATCCTCTTGATTATTGTGTATGTGTCTTGAGAGGATTTTCTACAGTGTGCTTAAGAAAAACTTCAATACCCAAAGATCTAAGTATCATACTTATGCAGAGAACAGAATCAGGGGAATTGAATTTCCAAGGAAATCACAATTTTCTACAGAAGATCTTTGAAATAGAGATAGAAACGAGACAAGTATTTGAAAATGACATTAATAGAACTGAGATGGAAAATTTCTTCACTGCATCTCATAGTTTTCCACATATTGAGGTTATTGGAATTATGGGTCATGCTATATTGTTTCACATATAACTTCCCCACAAGACTCTGAGCTTTTTGAGGTGTGGGAGAGTGCTTATTCTTTTGTGTGTTTACATCATATAGTAAGTTCTTCATACATCACAGGCTGAAGTACTTCAATGGAAACTTACATGTATTATTTTACTTGCTCCTCACCATACCCCATGATGTAGGGATTGTTATACACACACCATAAATACAGAAACCTGGGTTCTAGGAAGCTGGGACACTTATCCATAATAAAGTGATGGAGCCAAGGTTCTTACTCAGGAATATCTTTATTTATTTATTTGTTTATTTTTTAAGTTTATTATTTATTTTGAGAGAGTGGGGGGTGGGGAACGGCCAGAGAGAGACGGAGAGAGAATGTCAAGTAGACTCCACACTGTCAGTGCAGAGCCCGATGCAAGACTCTATCTCATGAACCGTGAAATCCTGACCTGAGCTGAGATCAAGAGTCAGACGCTTAACCAACTGACTCACCCAGGTGCCCCAGAAATATTTTGCTTTAAACTAATATCACTTATTCATTTATGATTCAACATTGTTGTATAAATGAATAAGATATCTATAAAACATATTTCAATCTATAGAAGAGTATGGAAAAAGCAAGAGGCAATTCCTCTATGGTAAAGATTTTTAAAAGGAGCCTCTTTGGTTGAAAGTTAATTTAAAGAATATTTTCATTAATACAAATTCCCTCACAATTTTACTTCATCACTAATGGGTCTCTTTGTGGAGGCAGAGTACAAGACCACCACTTGTGGCTCCCTCCTCATGACATCACTAGCTACCAACTTTGCCTCTGGGTTCTCATTGAACATTCTTCCCTAAAGAGACATATCTTTTTAGGCAACCAGAATGCCTTCCATCAATGCATTTGGACACAAAAATGTTTAAATCATGACATGTAGGTCACTTACAAAAAGAGGACAACTATTTATGGTAACATTTTAAATTTATTGTGATGAGTCAAGGCTAATGCAAGGTGAACTCCTTTTACCATCATCTGCATGGCTACATTAGCTCATTCATGTATTAAAAAATGTGCCTCTGGACAGTTAGTTGGCAATTTGGCAAATTGCTCATGTATAATGCAAGAGAAGAAAGTCTAGTTTCAACTCATACCGATTCCATCTCTACTTTTCATGAATGATTTTGATTTTATCATAAAATGAGTCATGGGTTTACTCAACAAAATGGGAATGAAAAAAATTCCAGCAATAAATTCATTTCCATTATCATTTGCTCAATTTGTTATAGTCACAGATTATGTTAAGGGTGCTTGCCTTTCACTGTTAGAATTGCATATATATTTTTTTCTGAGAAACTAATACATTGATTTAAGATGTTGACTTTATTTTTTTTCTTTTTCATACTACACGCTTTATCAGTCTTTGCATCTATGAGATGAATAAATTCTAAGTTCCTTGGGACAAAGAGTATTTCCTAAGCTTTTGGAAAAAACAAGTGATTTATTAGCCAGCATATTTTCCATTCAGAAATCACATTGAACCATTGCCTTGATGAACTTTTACATTAGGTAACAAATTACCTAATTTTAATTTTCAGTTTCCTTCAGTCATTCATGTATTTATTGGCAAACTTATATTGAGCACTTGCTTTGGAGTAAGGATGGTACTGGCATTGGTGTTCCTATAGTCATAAATGAGACAGATCCATTACTACCCTTACCCTTATGGATGATTCAGAAAGAGATATTCTTAAAAATATGACAGGGAGAAAATATATACAAAGAAAGTCCCTACTTACCTTTCTAGGATGAAGTGCAATTAAATTTCCTCCTCAGGGCACTGGGGTGGTTCAGTTGGTTAAGCATCCGATTTGGCTCAGGTAACAATTTCACAGTTTGTGAGTTCAAGCCCTGCATCAGGCTCTTTGCTGTCAGCACAGAACCCAGTACAGATCCTCTGTCTCCTCTATCTGCCTCTCACCCACTCATCCTCTCTCTTTCTCTCTCAAAAATAAACATTTAAACAAACAAACAAAAAGTTTCCTCCTCAAGGTATTACTAAAACCAAAATTTTTGTTTTGGTGTCTAAGTGAACACAGTGTTTCCACTGTATGAGGATGACTAAGGCATCATCTGGCACAAGATGTGCAGCACCAAGTCTTTGAAAGTGAGCCTGTAGGGAAGGAGGTAAGCTGAGTGGTTACATCTCTGGCACCTTGTTCTCTGTAAAGTTAGCAATTGAACCACACTCACTGTTCCCATATACCTCCACAGACTCATCTCTAGAGACCACTGTGGTGATTATTTGTTACCCAGAATCATTCTCACATGATTTAAAGAATGAGGTGAGGCTTCATGGGGCTTGTGATCCACATGTATATAGGATTAAGGCACACTTCTCTTTATTAAGTCCTTCCAGAAGACAACAGCAATCATCTTCTTCTTTGTTTATTGAAAATCTTTTAAAGATGTTGATGTTCATGATGATACAAATAAGGAGGAAAGATCTACATTCACTTTAAGTCATTTCTATCTGGGAATAAATTCCCAGGAAGATTAGTTTTCCTCTTTTTATTAAACATGAAAAAATGATTACAATTATTTCTATGACTATGTTCTTAGATTTCTCTAAAATATTCAGAGATAAAAGCTCTGAATTCTTCTCCAGGTAGAGGTAAGAAAGGGTGGAGTGGACAATGGAGACAATATTTTAGGAGGTGAGATGGTGTATTGTGTCTATATTCACACACAAGCACAACTG